CTAAGTCTGCTATTAGTAAGAAAGTGGTTTTCAATTAAAGCTAGGAACATGTCCTAGCTTAATACTAACCATTTGGTTGAACGGAGGGGTATACCAAATGATTTTCCTTTTCCTGTTTTTCTTCTGGTTAGTACTGTTGTTTCTATAATTTATGTTAACGTTTTTGCATCCGCCATTTTTCAAGGCTGTTTTAAAAATTACTGTGTTGTTAAAATATTTTCATACTGATTCTTTTCCCTATATATGTGGCTATATGCTTAATTATAGATGGAGGTTGGGTTGATTTAAGGTGTACATACAAGAGATTAGTGTTACAGAAAACCTAACACTAATCTCTTGTATTTTGTAGTATTAATGAAAATCCTAAACTAAAATTAGACAAAAATAATGAAAAATTATGTGATTGTAGAAACCCTCAAGACTGCCCACAAATTTTAAAATACATAAAATTAGAAAGATAATATATAGTGAATTCAGAAAACTAAACTTAAAAACTACAGTCAACACTAAATTAAAAAGGGTAAACTTCCTTAAATTATCTCTACTTCTGTATGGAGGATTGTTTTTTAAAAATAAAAAAAAAATACTAAAGAACTCCGGATTATTTACATAACGTGTTCTTTCCTATTTTTCTACATATCTGCACACACACACACACGTGTGTGTGTGTGTGTGTGTGTGTATGTGTATGTGTGTGTGACAAACACACACACACATATATATATATATATATATATATATATATATATATATATATATATATATGTGTGTGTGTGTGTGTGTATGTGTATATGTATTTGAATATGTTTCATGTTGCTCTTCCTCGATTTAAGCTTTCGGTTCACATGCGCCATCATCAGAATGGTTATTCGGACATTACAATAGGGATGTTCACCATCAAAGATGACATCCTGTTATCTTTACATAGAAGTTTTCTATGGGACAATAACGGTCGCGGAATAGCAGACACAGGTCGTAAATTCGTAATGACGTCGTACATGAACACGTGAAAGAAAGAAATGTTATCAACAGAACCATGTGTTTAAATGCATTGTAATATGTTGTGATAGTTTTTCTTTATTTTCTCCCGAAACTAAAGCCACTATACGAAGCTTAGAACGGCCCATGATCAAACATAATAGACATTCGTTGTCTGTTATATTCAACATTCAACACTATATGTCTGAATAATGATCTTCTGCCTATATATATATATATATATATCAATAACCCTAACCCATCTTTCTTTATACACCCTCTGAAACTTGGTTACGCCTTCCTCTTTACTAAATGTCGATTTCAAAGTTTCCCAAGCTGGGGGTCACAAACCCTCAGACAAAAACTGTGGTGGAGGGGAGGGTAGCACTTTTTTTAAATTACCAAAAATCAATTATTTACTTTTATTTAATTTCAACTGAGAGTAGCTTGGTAAATGAATGCTGAATATTTCCTTATAAAAAAACGACTAATATTACCATTGCCATTACAGATGATTAGAACAGTTACTACACTAATTATTTTCTTCTTCTTCTTCTTCTTCTTTTTCTTCTTCTTCTTCATATTATTATTAATATTATTATTATTATTTATAAAGACACATCTAAGTTGCGCTCTTTCTGAAGACAGAAACACACGTGAGAAATAAAATGTAGTGTGTCCGCTCGAGGACATATATTACACTTTGGCCCCAGTTCAATGGCCAGGGAGTGAAGAAAGCGTAACCCGAAGAGTATTTGCTGCACTGTTAATAAATGCCGAATGTTTCCATATAAGAAAACTGTTAATATTATTATTACCATTACGCCTACAACGTTTGTTTACTGGTGTATTTATTGGGTGAAATCTTTGAGGCCAAACTGTAGTGATGCGCCGTTTGATATTTTTGATAATCTTAAATTACTCAGTAGCAGTTTTGGTATTTTTCCATTCGTTAACACTTCTCGTAAAAAAGCCTAATCCACTAAACAGTAATTTTTTTTTACTGATTCCTCTTAGTGGCAATCAAGTGAGAAGTAACTCCCCTGTACCTTTTCTATAAATACTTACATGGTAATTGTTCTGATGAACCTACCTCCATGTTACCTAGACTTTATGAAGTGCAGTACTAGATTTTCGGCAAGATCTCATCATTTTACAGTTAAAATGACTTGACTTAACCGTAAGTTCTATGTTAACAGTTTCTTCTCTCACCGCACTTCTTACTTGTGGAATTATCATCCGGCTTCTTTATTCCCAGTCAAGTTTGATCTTCAGAAATTAAAATGCAATGGCACTTGTTATCTTCTGTCTTCTTAATTCCTGTTCTTGTATTGACTTCTTTCTTGATTAATGTTCTCATTACCTCTCACACTCAGAAACACCTTGAGTCGTAGTGGCTTTATTGCCTTTCTTGGGGTGAAATGATTAAAAGAAAAAGAGTCTAAAAACTGATTTCTATTAGCAATATATTGTAGCAGGAGCAGCTGTGCTATATTTATATTTTATACTGGCCATTGATGGA